GTAGACAGGAAAAACCAAAGGTGCAAATACAGATTAGGTGAAACCTGGCTCAAAAACAGTTAACTGTGAGAGGGACATTGGAGTCCAGTGTCGAAGTAAACATGAACGATCAGTGTGCAAAAGCATCCAGAAAAGCTATTATAATCCTTGGTTGTATAAATAAGAGTCGTAGAGTCAAAATCACAAGAAGGATTAGTATAGCTTTATAAAGAGCAAGTAAATTAGTAAGACCACACCTGGAATACTGCATGCAGGTTTGGTCACCACATTACAAAACAGATATTGAGACCCTGCAAAAAGGGCAAAGGAGAGGAACTAAAATGATTAAAGGCCTGAAGACAAAAAGATGTGAAGAACAGTTACAGGAATTGTTTATGGCCAGTCTAGAGTAAAGATGGACTGGGGGTGACATGATAACAGTATTCCAATATTGGAGAGTCTGTCACAAAGAAGAGGGCGTCCACCTGTTTTTCAAAGCACTTTAAGGCAGGAAAAGAAACAATGGATGGAAACTAATGAAAGAGAAAAAAGCAACCTGGAAATTAGGAGAAACTTCCTAACAGTGAGGACAATCAATCAGTGGAACAGCTTTGCCTTCAGAGGTTGTGGTTTCTCCATCACTGGAGGCTTTTAAGAAGAGACTGGATAGCCACCTGTCTGGAATGGTATAGGGTCTCCTGCTTAAGGGGTTGGACTAGATGACCTCCAAGGTCCCTTCCAGTTCTATTCTGATTGATAAAACCCACCCAGGGACTGCCACCTCACAGCCTCTTAATAGTAAACAAGGAAAATAATGATTTTTTTTCAGATTCTGCCCAAACAAAAGAAAAACAAAGAATTGGAATATTCATTCCTCTCAATTTAGATTAAGCAGAAAGAAAGTGGATCTATTCTGGGTTGGGAGAACATGAGTTCAATTCAAGCAATTTAAATCCCCCCCCCTTAAACTACCCTCTCCCCGCATTGAAGGGGGAAGGCGGGTCTTTCTTTCCATTGCCCATATTCCCCCCAAAAAAATCCTTAAAAAGAAAAGCCCCCCCTTTCCCTCCATGGGGCGAGCCCCCCCCTTTCCCCGCAGGCTCCCCGTCCAGCCCTGCATCCACCCGGGATCCTCGCAGGCTCA